CAACCCATTTGCCATTGTCATAACAAATTGCAAGAATGAATTGAACCATAGGATCGAATTGATTATCTAAGCAATATTTGATAATATTTTCCGGATTTTGCCTTTTTTTTACTAGAAATTGTTCTAACGTGTCAAGAATTGATTCGTCCCATTTGCCTTTTAACATTTCTTTATTATATAGTTTATATATTTCTTTAATGATTTCATCAAGAAAGCCCTGAGACTTATCTTCTAGATGTAATTGATTAACTTCAATGGATATTTTGGTAACATCAAGGGGATTGTCGATTTTTTCTGCTCGTTTGGCAATTGACATTTTGACGCAATAAGAGAGAATGTTACACATTGAATTATCAAAATTTATTGATGTATATATTGCATTGCGTAACGTTCATTTTTCTTTCGGTTAAATTGTAACACCTTTCAACGAATTGGTTGATATTTATTATTAATGTTTATAAATAAATACATTTAAAATTAAATAATCACTTCTAGGCTTTTAATAATCAAAATTTTTTCCTTTCCCTGTAAAGCCTTTTTAACTTAATCATTTGTTTCCTGCAAAATTGCACCAAGTCTATTGCGTAATCGCCTAATAAATTCATTATTAGTGTGTTCACATAGTAATTTTTTATATTGAAAAAATTTATCAATATTTTCTTTTTCTTAGAAAATTTACTTGATTGCTTTGTAAATTTCTAATTTTGCTCTTTAAACTATTATTATTTTTAGCAATTATAAATATTTCGTGAACATTTAAAGCAAGACTAATTTTATTATGAAACTATTTTTTCTCAAACTTTTGAGCTAGACTATAAAATTAACTTTATTTGTTATTTTAGCATAAATATATGTAAATATTTAGCGATGCTTAATAACTCGGAGGTTTCACCAATAAAAAAATTGTAAATAATAATAAGGCTTCTTTTTTATCATAAAAACCGGAATTTTCAGTAAATAATTAGATATAGGAGAAATGTAATAATATACATTTATAATATAATGTTTTTAATTAAATTATAAAACTCTAAATATTATACTAAATTATAATTCAAATACTTTACTTTTGTTTAAAAATATTTTAATTATTTCTCCATTATATAATAAGTCTCTAATGGCATTAATAATTGCTCTATAAATACGAACTTATATTCTTTAAAATTAGCATTTTAAGACTTGAAATACTTCAAATTCATCAATGAAAAGATCCATAATATCATCTTTAAGCCGTTTTTCATATGATTCTGAATCATTTCCGTAACCTAATATCTTATTATCATCATTTTTCATAATGAAAAAATTGCCGAAAACTGATTCATAGCAAGAAAAATGTCCACTCAATTAATAATAGAATTCGATGAATTTGAAAAATTTCATGAAAAAATAACCTACAGGTGACTATCAACCTCATTAATATCGACCACAAATTTTTAACATTTTTATATATCAAAATTTCCACACATATATCAACTTTAATATGATTTCTCATTAATATCACTATCAACATAATTTAAACCAATTCAAATAGGTTGATATTAACAAGGGTCATCTGTATCAGAAGTTATTAATCAATGATTTTTATCCCTTAAACCGTAAGCTGACCCAGGCAAATTTGCCTGCGAAAATTTATCCAATAATTACCCGCCAAACATGCGACTCTCAGAAGATAGTACAAGGATGGACCAGTGGTAATAAGGATGTTGATGATTGTATTAAAGAAGTTCAACTCTCAGCCACGGAATATGAAGATTTAATCGAGTGGATTCCTTTTAATAGATTAGTTAATATTCAAAATATTGGCGATAGAATTTTAGCAACCTGGTTGGATGGAATACGATATGTAGATGAATATAAAAATGAAAATAAATATGAATATATGCAATCACGTACACCAAAAGGCATAATTACACTTGAAATATTGAGTGGAACACATAATATTCAAAATATTTTAAAAGAAATGAGATTTATTATTTTATTATATATAGTTTTAATAGTATATTTTTTTATAAATATAAATCAAAATACTTCATATTGTATTTCAAAAAAGCTATTTTATCTGCTATTTTATTATTATGGGTTGTTATGTATTCATTTGATTCATTCAGTTTGTTTGCCAAATTTTTATTATCAGCTGCTAATATAGGCAAATATTCTCTCGCAAGAGCAGCTAACCCAGGAAGCATTTGTTTTGAACCTTGCCACCATTTATATGGATCAATATTTCTATTTAATGATGTTTGTGGACGATTAATATAACATTCCAGTTCTTTATTTGCTGCTTGTGTTAATTCATCCAGGTTATTGTTGGCAAAAATCTTTGAATAATAATTCAGACATTTTTTTCGTGCACATTTAATAATCACCTAATGCATTATATGAAAATTTCATTAGTAGCTTCATAAATATTTAAATAATAAATAACAGAACAAAACTTACATTTGAAAATTCATCTGATTTAGAACGTGGATCCAAAAATGAAACAAGTTTTTGGATAATTTTATTGCTATATTCAAATAATGATATTGATTTTAGGAATGATTTAAGGATTTCATGTTCTAAGCTATTATTAAACTGAAGCTCATTTAGCATATTATCTGC